TTAACTTTTCACCCATACGACGTGTCGCGCTAATGTAGGTTAATACTGAAGACGCACTGCGCGCGTTGCACTAGGATTTTCTTTACAATACAGAGCCCAGTTCAGTGCGTTTAGTGGTGCCTACCAGATTTTGCAAGCGCAACTAATGTTCAGGCGCCGCTTGCCATGGAGGTCTGCGCTCCATGGCAAGCACGGCGCTCACAAGGACATATCTGAAAAGACCCGATCAGCACAGACGAGACGGGCTGACTGAAGCCGGTCACTCTATCAACTTTTTCTTGTAGGCATGCCTCGCACTGGCCAGCAGAAAGAAAAGAGGTCCTAATCTTTCTTTCAACTCCATTTCATTATTCCTGTTTCTCTACTTCAGCACCCTCTCGTTCTCATAAGAGCTCTTCGGACAGGAGCGAACTACATCAAAAGCAATAAAAGTCTGTCTTCCCCTTTAGACCCCACCTTCTTATGAGTGAAGCCTAAGAGGCTCGAAATGTTGTAACCGAAAACGGCAGCATCATTTGGCTTCGCGCAGATGATGCAAAAACTGTAACGTCTCCAAAAGGATGCACCATAGTCATCAGGAACACTAAGACAGCGTTCAGACTTTGCGATGACGAGCGTCTACGCGTTACCCTTGCAATAGCGCTCGAGCGCGACAGACGTGAACGCAGCCATAGACTGCTGTGGATCAGTGTCGGCCGTAGTGTTTCGAGGACAAGTATGAAGAGAAAAGGAAGGTAGGCATTAGTGGATTACCCAGTATGGTATCAATCATCACGGCAGGTAGTCTTTCAATAGTATGCTGAGTCAAGTCAAAGTCAGACCCCGAACCTGCCTCGCATCTCTCGTTCACCGGGCGAATGCGTTATCCAGTACGCCACTGGGGCCGCTCTTACCCTCCCCTTTAGCTTTTGTGCCATAGCATTACAGCAGGCTCAGCTTTAAGATGATGTCGGCAGTGAACCACGAAAGCAGCCAAAAGCGAGGCTAAGGCTTCACATGTTTAAAAGTTTTGGAAGAGTATAGGAGAATAGGAAGGCCGAAGTTAGCCAGACAGAGGCCTTCATGAGCCGTGAGCGATAAAGCCGTGAGGTTATCGGTCTGTACCGCACTCACGACCTGCTTAGTCTGCACTCTCTCCTTTCACACCTCTCTATCTTCTCTGTCCTTCGTCCTTTCCTTTGTTCTATTTCTCCTGGCGCGAGTTGCTCACTCCCCATCTTTTCCTGCGGAAAAACTGTTGAGTGCGACTCAAGAGGTAATAATCACTAAATTGGCACGATTGTTGGAGATGGGGCGAAATATGGAGGCGCAGACTCTCACTGATGATGATCAAAAAGTACTCTAGAGGACTTTTTGCTGGCAATCATCGGGACGTCACCTTAATCTTCACCACATTGAGTGCGACTCAACTGAGTTGACTCAGTTGAGTCGCACTCAATGTGGTGAAGATTAAGGTGACGTGACCTCACGATGATTTCGAGTTGACGTCGATCTTTTCTGTGCGGAGTTTCGTATATGTTTCCCAGAGGTTTCAAGTTTTCCAAAGGGTTTGAAAACTTTTGCCAACACTTCTCAAAAATGGATGATCTCGAGATTGGGAGACAATGCTTATTTGTTCCCGATACTCTCTCAAAACACTAGCGGCCGAGGTTGATTGATGTCCGTCTATGGCTGAGCTTTCAGCTTCATCATTGGAGCACTGTTGCAATGGTAGCGCGTCATCGCGAAGTCAAAACGCCGTCAAGAAAGTCGATCAGTAAATTTACACAACATGAGAAAAATGCACGGCAATAGAGTTGACTGTAGCGGATCGTGTTCTAATTTTTTCTCACGATCCCATCTATTTAGCAATTCTTTGTTAAGGTGTATTTGTATTATTTCGTTAGTATTAAGACATTATGACACAGCAAGATCTGTTCGTTCAAACATTGTCAGCGCTTCTGGAGCTCTGCCAAGTCTCACAAACACGTTCGGCGAACTTCTTTCACCAGTAGCAGGGCTCATTTCCTGAAAACTCGTACGAATTTTCGAAAAAAACTGGACTTCGTTGTTTGCTACCGAACGATTAGCTAAAACTTACATCAGCTGGTGGCTTCTGTTTACCGTTCGCCAGCGAAAGCCAGTGCTGGAGTTGTCTGTGAAAATATGATTCTGACTGCACTGAATGGAGCTATTCTGCCTCTCAACTCGACGAACATGACGAACTCGCAAACTGGTTGCTCCAAACAGGTACATCAAGTGCACACAAACATCCCTCGACTGGCTACCGCAGTGGCGCCGTGTATCACGGACGTTTCTTACAGTCGTCGTCCGCTTCCTTCAGTCGACCTACCGTTATGCCTTCTCTTCACAATCTTACAAAGGAGAGCGCTCTGCCGGGGAAGGTACAGTGATGTGCCAGTTGACCATCGTGAAATGAGCTTCCAAATACATCATTTTATGACTACTTGGCTAGCGAAACTCTCCCCTCATACGGTGCGCGAATCTGCACCTTGCCTTACTGGAAAACGTGTGTTAAGAAAGTCAGGGGTTCTAACTTCCTCTAGTCAGCCTTCTCAAGAATCCCTTGAAGGCGGTGTCCACGTTCAATAGAGATTTCTCTCTGCCTTTGTGAGCTGGTAGCCAGGTTCGCAAAAGCAGCGACTAGACCACTTTTGCCTTTTCTGGCGGGTTTTTTCTGCTTTTTCTTCACTGCTGGATCAATTGCTACCTTGCTATTACTATCTGAGCTGCAAAACTCAGTGTAGTTGAAAGCAGGCTCAGCCTTCACCCTAAGATGCTCGCGTTCCTTGCATGTGGGTGATCGCGATTGTCTGGTCCCATACCCGTCGTTCAATGCCACCTTTTTCCTCAGTGCATGAGCAACCCACTCAGTGTTCCACGTATGCACGCACAGTTGTGCCCGAGCAACGCAGAAGGGCTACTGGCAGCTAGCTCTTATTGGTTTAGGAAAGAAACGTTACATAACGTACCGCTCCAGGGTGCTCTTGAATACTCTCCGAAGAGCGAACGTTCATTAGTTCTGGTGGTACTTTTGTTGGTCCTTCATTTTTAGCGAATTTTCCTGAACAGTTCAGTTTCGCAAGGTCAAGAAGGATATCAGAGGGCACATGAATTTTGCCCACCTTTACGTCTAAAATTACCGCCTTCAGTTATCCATAAGTAAAACATGAATGATGCCGCTCCGATTGCTATGATCATAGCGATTGCGTAATTGCTGGTCGTTGAGGATGCGGAGCCACTAAATTTCATTTCATTACAAACAGTAGAAGGAGAAATAAGAATTTTTCGCGCGTTCAAACCTGGACGTCCATTGGATGAAGGGCTTTCGTGAAATACTGTGGGTGCCCCAGGAGGTTTGTGATAATGTTCTCACCCCAAATTCACCTTCTTGGATTCCATTTTGACATATTCTTGACGACTACGTTGAAAAGAATCAACCTCTACCTTTCGACTGATTCTGCTTTAG